CCCAATCAGGGGTCTCCACACCTTTCTCTTCCCGACGCGGTGGGGATGGTGGTGGGGATGTCTGGGTGTGATGGGTATTCTTTGGGAGCGACGGCACTCCTATCATTGCCTCCATCTTGGGGGCCTCACAATATGCTATTATCAATCAGGAGGAGGAGGGGGTTTGTAGGTTTTCAAGGAGCTGTATTAGTTTGTTTCAACATGTAGAACAAAACCAAAATAAAAGCACTGAGGGATTAACACAATTTTATTTCAATGTGAGCCTGTCTGGGGAAGGTTACTGTAAGTTTGCAATTTTTATTTGAATTGCTGGATAGCTCAGTGGTATTTATTTGATTTATATACTGCCCCATTAGTGTAACCACTACTCTGGGTAATTTACAGGTTAAAACGTAAAACCCCACATAACAAAATACATTCAGCGATATGGTGATTAACAAGTGTAGGTCTAAAATATATACAAAAAAGAGCAAGAAAAGAAAAAAATTAAAGTGTTAAAGTAACAAAATATTACTATCTACCCTCAATACGGATGGGAGGTGACAGTATGAGCTGAAATTTCAGAGTGAGAAATCAGTTATCTTCCATTTCTTTCAATGATATTTTACTACAGTTAACTACTGTATTTTAAATATTCTTTTATCAACAAACAAATTAGCTTTCATAAATTAATAGAGCTGTAGAAAATGTATCTGGCTGGAATAAAATTAGAACTGAAGGCCTTCAGTTTATAAGTAATACTCATACATATCTGCCAGATAGACATTAAGGTACTAGAAGACTTTGTTGGTTGTAATTTATTGGGCACTGAAGTACAGTTTCAGGCAAGATGGCAGGGGAAGGTAGAGAAATCGAAACATAATCCTTCCGTTCAAAAATCTATTCCTGGATTTTCCCATTTCCAGTGCTTTTCATTTTAGCAGTATAGCTTAATATGGGGAAGAGTTGTTTTATTGACATGTTTAAATCACTGGGAGACTATAGTCCTTTCTGATTTACTGCAAATACCATAGGTGTCTAGAAGATCTTCCACATCTATTTTCTACCTATTCCTGCTCATGTCCAATGTTTCTTGCTATAGAGATTCTAATGACTGAATGAGTCAGAATTTTATGGCATCATAGTTAGAGAATTCTCTTCTTCAAGAACCCCATTCAGTTTTGGAGGAGTCTCTTAAGAACATGGACAATAGGCTTTTGTAGACTAAAGACATTGCATGTTCTATTATGCCTTTTATTTTATTTTAGAGCTCTTTTTATACCCCTTTAGATATAAAAATCCCAAAGCTGATAACAATAAGAATTTTTTTTAGCACAAATAACCTTCCAAACCACTAGTAGTCCTGCAAACTGGACCAGTGCTCGTGAGAGAAAGAGAGGGGTGATTATGACTCCTGCCATGTCCTCAGTTTCTTCAGAGGCATTTTTCTCACATCCACTCCTCATCTTTGATTTATATACTGCCCCATTAGTGTAACCACTACTCTGGGTAATTTACAGGTTAAAACGTAAAACCCCACATAACAAAATACATTCAGCGATATGGTGATTAACAAGTGTAGGTCTAAAATATATACAAAAAAGAGCAAGAAAAGAAAAAAATTAAAGTGTTAAAGTAACAAAATATTACGATCTACCCTCAATACGGATGGGAGGTGACAGTATGAGCTGAAATTTCAGAGTGAGAAATCAGTTATCTTCCATTTCTTTCAATGATATTTTACTACAGTTAACTACTGTATTTTAAATATTCTTTTATCAACAAACAAATTAGCTTTCATAAATTAATAGAGCTGTGGAAAATGCATCTGGCTGGAATAAAATTAGAACTGAAGGCCTTCAGTTTATAAGTAATACTCATACATATCTGCCAGATAGACATTAAGGTACTAGAAGACTTTGTTGGTTGTAATTTATTGGGCACTGAAGTACAGTTTCAGGCAAGATGGCAGGGGAAGGTAGAGAAATCGAAACATAATCCTTCCGTTCAAAAATCTATTCCTGGATTTTCCCATTTCCAGTGCTTTTCATTTTAGCAGTATAGCTTAATATGGGGAAGAGTTGTTTTATTGACATGTTTAAATCAGTGGGAGACTATAGTCCTTTCTGATTTACTGCAAATACCATAGGTGTCTAGAAGATCTTCCACATCTATTTTCTACCTATTCCTGCTCATGTCCAATGTTTCTTGCTATAGAGATTCTAATGACTGAATGAGTCAGAATTTTATGGCATCATAGTTAGAGAATTCTCTTCTTCAAGAACCCCATTCAGTTTTGGAGGAGTCTCTTAAGAACATGGACAATAGGCTTTTGTAGACTAAAGACATTGCATGTTCTATTATGCCTTTTATTTTATTTTAGAGCTCTTTTAATACCCCTTTAGATATAAAAATCCCAAAGCTGATAACAATAAGAATTTTTTTTAGCACAAATAACCTTCCAAACCACTAGTAGTCCTGCAAACTGGACCAGTGCTCGTGAGAGAAAGAGAGGGGTGATTATGACTCCTGCCATGTCCTCAGTTTCTTCAGAGGCATTTTTCTCACATCCACTCCTCATCTCTGCTGTAAAGGTAAAGGTAAAGGTTCCCCTTGACAATTTTTGTCCAGTCGTGTCCGACTCTAGGGGGCGGCGCTCATCCCGCTCTTCAAGCCAGCCAGCGTTTGTCCGAAGACAATCTTTCCGTGGTCACATGGCCAGTGTGATTTAGACACGGAACGCTGTTTACCTTCCCACCGAGATGGTACCTATTTATCTACTCGCATTTGCATGCTTTCGAACCGCTAGGTTGGCGGGAGCTGGGACAAGCAACGGGCGCTCACTCCGTCGCGTGGATTCGATCTTACGACTGCTTGGTCTTCTGACCCTGCAGCACAGGCTTCTGCGGTTTAGCCCACAGCGCCACCACGTCCCTCTTATTTACAATTTAATTATGCAGGCTACACATTGCCCCCCCAGCAAGCTGGGTACTCATTTTACCTACCTCGGAAGGATAGAAGGCTGAGTCAACCTTGAGCCGGCTACCTGGGATCTGCTGTAACTGTTTCTGATTTAAAGGTAGAGGGCTTTTTACATATAGAAGTTGAAATAACAAATGCACATTGTAAGTGGTCATAGTGCTAGTAATTAATAAAGAATATTGTAGGGTTATTTTTCTTCTCTCTTTTGTGTACATCACATGTAATAATGCCTACCTGATATATTCAGCCATAATTGACCAGGAGATCACCTAACTTGAACACTGTAATTTAAAAATTTATGCTCTCTCAGGATTATTCAGTTACGCTTGTTATTTTGCTACGTTTTCCTCCAAATGCAGAGGTAAAGAATTGATGTAACAAGTAAACTTAACTACGGAATGGCCAAAGGCAACTTAAAATTCTATTTAAAACCGACAAATCAAATCTGACAGAATGTGTACATGACATTGTCTGTAGCCAGGCAACAATTGTAAACAGTTAAAGGAGAAATCTTTCAGGAGCCAAGTTATAACATACGAGTGACTGAAGCTGGCCTCTTGTTTGTCCAAAGAGTCCATGTCTGTGAAATGGCTATTCCGAAAGGTAAATACAAAACTGTGTAACATTTAGAAATAGTAAGAAAAAAATTGAATGTGGGAAAAATATTTGATCTGGGAAGAAACAGAACTCTTAATTATTGCTTAACAGCAGAAGCAAATCTTCAGGTGGCAGCCTAACATTGTAATAATATTTAAAACCCTAAATAATTTGAAATATATACTGTACTGAAGAGATGAATTGTAGGAACAGAAATATCTGGACAGGAACAAAATAAACCTGAATGGTCAGTAGCAGAAAAGGAATCATTCATTTCAGCACAACATGTGTTGCACATATGAAATTATAACAGAAAACCGAATGCACTGGTTATAAAGATAAATAAAATCCTACTTAACCATCTTCTACTCTATGCCCACTCTGTGTTTATTGTGAGAGTTTATAGAACCATTCTGTTGGTGGTTCTTGAAAATTATTTTAATAGAACTTGTCTCCAGCTAGGTGTGCTTTAAGACTGAAGAACTACAGATCCAGTACAGGCAAGACCACTTGTAGGGTGCACTGTAGAGTAGATCATGAAAATCTTTGTCCTCCAGATGTGACCCTACACTGGTGTGTACCCTGCCTCTGTCCCAGTGTTTGTTTATTCTGCATTGACTCTTTGTGATTCACTTTGCAGTCTTCACATGAGAGTTAGAGCTGAAAATCTGCAATATTATTTCACCTTATGTATGGTGGTTGTATGTCAAGGTACGTCACTTTCTGTTTTGTTTCTGTATTGTTTTAAATTGTAGCAGCTTGAGGTTGTCCTGCCTTTTGTTTTAAAAACACATCATGGGTAGAGATGGGCACAAACTGCCAATTCGGCTGTTGGCCCAATAGGTGGAGGAGGTGGGGCTCAGAACCTCAGTACACCTGTTGGTCCAACAGCTGAACTGACAAAAAAATACACCAAACTGGCTGTTCATGCCCATCTCTGATCATGGCATACAAGTCTCAACAAGGCTTGCTCCACTAAAAGCCCTTCCTGGCCGTACTCCTTCACACATAAACCAGGCCACCTCAGCCATGGGAAAAGGAAATCATTGCTGGCAATGTGGCCATGGTTCCATGATATATCTGTGCTGGATAATTTATACAGTATTAAAAAATAATGGTTTGAAGAACTGAGGTGACATTACGACAAAGAGTAATGGAATGGATAACAGCAGCACGTGAATTGGAAGAGAAGTGAGTAGGTGGGTTTCCAAGTGGAAATGTGGGAGTGGGCATAGCAATCGTCATAATGCAACAGCAAGAAAGGAGGAAATACCCTAATGGATGCAGACATCCTTAGCCAAACTAAACAATTCACATCACTGTGGTCACAGAACTGGACCCTCCGTAAATAATCAGAAGTGGGTATGCTATAGCGGTGGAGTGAGAAGCAGTGTCCTCCAAGGTCATGACAGAGTTGCATTCTCATGTGAAATGAACAAAGTGAAATGGGAGGGGCAACAGGGTTCAACCACCCCCTGCACTGGTATAGGTCCAGCCTGACAGGCCAAGAGTTCAGCTCCCAGACACTCCATCCAGAAAGGTGGGTAACAAGAGACCATGAGGAGGGGGGGCACGTCCAAATCATCTCAAAGGCCAAAGGTTACCCAATCAAGGAGAAGAGTTACAGGCTACTGAAGGAGCAACACCTTATGGATGCACATCCTGCCAATTTAATCTAGTTTCAACTACAGACAATACCATAACCCCATTCTGAAATATTTATTATTATTTCTTTAAAGCCTTTATCACTTTTCTGCCCACCAGGGCTCCCAAGGTGATATAAAATGAAATGGATAAAACATTCAGTTAAAACAGGTTTAAAATCATTTTAAAAGCCTACTTAAAAAACAGTGTAATACAGTTTTTGTTACCTGCTGGAAACTCAGCAAGTGTAGAGCCAGCCATGGGAGAAATTCCATGCTAAAACATGCCTTAACAGCAAGAAGTAGGAAAACAATGACGCATTAGTGATAATTTTCCCAGCAGTGTCTTTCTTCTTATGAAGAGTCAGAAAGTATGAGTCATAAATGAGCAACACATTGCAGAATAAGATTTTGCCGTCTCGTTGCTCCAGTCCAGTGCTTCCTGATGTTCTTGGGCTACAATTCCCAGAAATTCTGCCTGGAACAGCTAGTGGTGAAGGTTTCTGGGAGTTTTAGTCCAAGAATACCTGGGGACCCAAGGTTGGGAACCATTGCTAGTCCCTTATTGCCCATCTACCTTCCCTGAATGGGTTATCCATACCTAGATGTCGGCTTTTTGCAATGACAAACTGTTTTGGTACAAGGATGTTAAATCTTACATTCACTGTTTTCAACATTGATGCAATTCACTTCTATTTTCTTTTTGTGATTTAGGAAAAGTTCAGTTGGATCCTCAGAGACCAGTGACACAAATGTTCCTTTGCAATATCATTCTGATATTCTTATTGTTTTATTGAAAGTGAGCCACCAGGGAGCAGCCTCTCTAATCTTGAGAAGATGGATGTACCCCCTTTTTTCAAGAGCAAAAATCCCTTTCCCCTCGAAGGCAGCCTGAAGGTTAGAGTTGATAGAAAGAGCCTGCCGTCTCACAAAGCCATGGTGTCTGCAATGAAGGCAAGAATGCCTTTGATCTACCAAAGACAAGTTTGCCACACCGAGTGGTACTATGCACACTACCAGAAGCAATGTCTGAAGAATATAGCTGAAACTCTTCACTTTACCAAAGATGTTTTTGCAAACCAGCCATCTGCTCTGTCTTATAAGGAATATGGTTCCAGGATTCTATATGATGTTTCCAGTATCCTTCATAAGCCCAAAAGTGAAGACACTATTGTTAAGAAACAAAGGCAACCAAGAAGGCTGAAACCATTGAAAAGACAGCCTCGCCTGGTCAACTTAGATGTTGCTCCTGCCAAACAAACCACTACACATTTTCCTGTCTTCTTGGAAGAGTGCATCTACAAAGCAGAGGCAGAATGTGCACTTTTAGAAAAGCACCTAATGGTACCTATTCCCTCACCTTCCCCTCCTCCTCCTTGTGAGCCTCCGTACACACAGGCATTCCTGACTGGACCTCAGGAAATGTTAGGTGATGTGATTACCAAAAACTGGTCAAAAGCAACATTCCAGGGCAATCCAATCCATGAGCCAGAACATGAGGACTTGGGCTGGGAAGAGAGACTGTTGACAAAGTTAAGTAGGGCTACAGCTCAGTGGATTGTAAATAATCAGCCATCCTGGGGAGGATGGGTTCAGGGTAAGCTACGAGACTTCAAGAGACAAAAATATGACTGGAATAGCATCAGATATGTCCTTCCTCTTGAAGAAGATGTGGAGCTGCTGGATGAAATTGTGGCAGAAGAAGCTGCCACAGATGGCCGGGTTATAAGACCTAAGGGGAAGAAGAGAGAGACACCTCTCCTTGCCTATTATGGGTAAGATAAATTGCTGTTTGACTGAAACAGCATGTTGTATTACATGCTGGCACTAATTTCATTTCTAGGAAATAAGTCCCATTAAATCTTATGGAATTTATTTCTGTTACATGGGATCATAAAACTTGGCTTAGTAATGTACACTTTATAGTTAACTGTGATATCTTCCCATCCATTTCATATTCTTTTTTAATTGGTGAGATGATGGGACAAAGCTTAACCTTCTCTAATGCCTTTTAGAATGGCTGTTGTGTGGGTACTTAGCTGAGTAAGGTGATGATGATACTGTTTCCCTGAACCATGCATTGAAACTTCTGACTTCTTTTTGATTGCCTTTTTTCCCTTACAGGTTTCAGATCCAAGTCTCAACATGGAGGCTATCTAAGATTCACAGCCTGGCTGGCAATCCTATTCAGAAATGTATTCATAAGGTGCTAAGAACAGTCCTATGAGCTCAAACAAAAGGATTCTGGATGTAGTGTATAGCTATCATGATTAATAGCCACCGATAGCTATATTATTGATTAATATTTTTAACTCCCTTTTAACACTGCCCATTGACAATCATCCCTACCTCTTGCGGAAGCAAAGTCCCCAGTTTAATTCTCTACTAAGAAGTACTTCTTTTTTATCTACCCCAAATCTCCCACCTTTCAACTTCATTTTGATCTTGGCAAGAATACCGTTATTCAATTTGCAATACGATGATGGCACTGATCAAGGCAATGTCATCCTTTGGGATAGGCAGAGGGGAAATTATCTGTAGAAACAGTATGAAAACTAATTTAGAGAGTAAAGAAACAGCAAAGTGGATCATAATGCAGCCAAGTCTATCCTGAGTGCAAAGGAGTTCAGGATGGAGTCCTTGATCTAGGGAGGTTTGAAATGAACAGATGGTGTCTGTTCCTTGTCCCACAATAAAATTTGGGATATAGGGGGAGTCCTGAGTAGGAGACAGGATTGCCAGAATGTTCTCATTGCCTCTTTAGATTACCCTCAATTGTACAGTATAGGAAGTTAAGTATTTTTATATTAATCATTACAATAGCTAAGTGCATCAGGTTAGTATGGTGGACTTAAGGCTATAAATTAGGAGCAATAACTCAAGATACTTAGGATAAGGTGAACAAAATTTGTTCAGGATAATAGAGTATAAAACATCAGGGTACAAAAACCTCCAGAGCTTCTTCCTTGCATGCAAGTATTCTGATGGCCTTGAGGAAAACAGAGAGGCCTGGCTATCCTTCATAAACAAAACACAACTAAGAACTAAATTTCCTTCTGATGGCCTTGAGGAAAACAGAGAGGCCGCCATGGCTATCCTTCATAAACAAAACACAACTAAGAACTAAATTTCCTTCTGTGAAACAATTCGCAAAGCCAAAATGCCCAGTTTACAAAATCAGGATGCTCCATCCCATCCTGCACCCTATTTTTCTCTCTGTCTCTCACAGATATATACTGTGGGAAATGGGGCATTGCTGCATTCATTCAACAATCCGTTGAGCCACAGGATGTGTCTGGTGAGCTGTATTCATCTTGATAAGTTGCCCAGCGCTTTTAGTGTTCTCTTCTCACTTTCTACTGTAAACCATATCTCAACTGGTAGCATCCTTCCCATCTCCTAGGGCACCATATTTCCACCCAGGAATGTTCTGCGCAGATGACCTAACTGCTAACAACAAAACAGCAGAAACAATATCAAAGAGGAGTCTCAAGCTGGCACCTCCTGTTAAACGCCGTGGACGACTGAACTCTCGGGTTGGGAAGCATTCATACATCACTCAGAATGTCTTTGAACAAGAGCTCTATTTTGGTGGGTCTAACTGAAATGTCTATAGATCTTTTTGTTTAGCCACATATAGAGATGGGTTATCTAGGCATTGTTTGGTTTCAGGTTTAGCCAGCACAAAAGTCAACTACAGTGAGTTAAATATTATGTACTGAAAGGCATGCCAATTTCGTAAGAGCTGAAGATGCTAATAAAATCACACCTTAATGCAGTTATAAAAGGCTTCACATACTGTAGTTCTTCTGCTCTTCAGTCTTATGTTGTTCTATGTGATGTTCTTAAAACATCTACAGAGCAAAGTGGAGGAATAGGGGAGATTGTTTGGAGTGAAGTCACATATCAGTGCCAGAACACATACTTTGCATGCAGAAGGCTGCACATTCAGTCCCTTCTTTGAACAAGTACAATACCTAGTCTTTCCAGCCCCTCAGATCTTCAGAGGAGTCTCTTCTCTTGGTCCTGTTGCCATCATAGCATGTTTCCTGCTGATGCAAGGCTGTGGCTGCTCCCAAGTTGTGGAATGCCCTCCCTTGGGAAGCCAACCTATTTTCCTCCTTTTTATTCTTTTGGTAACAGGTAAAAGACCTGCCTCTGTAGGGAGGATGTTAAAGAAATATGCTTGAGTCCTTCTAGGAAGCTGGGCATGTGTTATTTTTAAGTGTGTTCTTAAAGTTCTTAAATGTTTAGTGCATCTTTTAAATTATTATTACACATTTAATTGTTTTTAACTTGGTAAGTTATTGGGATTTCAGCCTAACTTCTTTTAATTATTGTTAACTACATTGAGTCCCCTCAACAGGAGAAAGGCGGCCTAGAAATGAAACAGATGAATAAATTTTCCGAGTCGGTTTAGAGAAAAACCTGCCTGTAACCCTACAGAGCTGTTTCTGATGTGTTGACCATACAGGATTAAGGGGACTAAAGGCCTAATTCCATGTATGGCAGCTTCCGGTATATGCAATTATTTTATGTATTGTTCATTTTTATTTATTCTAAATCTTCTCTAAAGCACTGATCTCGGCCTAGAAATGAAACAGATGAATAAATTTTCCGAGTCGGTTTAGAGAAAAACCTGCCTGTAACCCTACAGAGCTGTTTCTGATGTGTTGACCATACAGGATTAAGGGGACTAAAGGCCTAATTCCATGTATGGCAGCTTCCGGTATATGCAAGTATTTTATGTATTGTTCATTTTTTATTTATTCTAAACCTTCTCTAAAGCACTGATCCCCCACCTTGGGCCTCCAGATGTTCTTGGACTACCGCTCCCAGAAGCCTTCACCACCACCTCTGCTGGCCAGGAATTCTGGGAGTTGAAGAACATCTGGAGGCCCAAGTTTGGGGACCAGTGCTCTAAAGAGTTTAGTAAACCTGTGAAGCAAGTGACACTGAGAGACAGTGATAATCCGAGGTCACCAGCAACTTTGTGATTTGAACCCAAAACAGCTTTGACTAATATCAAACCACTACATTGGACTGGCTCTCATATAGACAAGTATATACTGAAAAGTCTTTGTGCCTGTTGGTACCTGAGTGATACAGCATTGGGCTGGTGCCTCAGTTAAGTATGGTGTGAATGTTGAGATGTAGTCAGGTAAGGGGGCCAGTATGCATTGTTGTATATAATTACAATGTGTTAATAGTCATACACTGGAGAATACACAATAATAGCCACAATCCTATGGGTGTTCTCATAAGATTAGCATAATTTTCCAAGGCTAACTGCAGCTAATTAAGGAGATACTGTACTGGTTCAGAAACAGGTATATGGCCAGGCATCCTATAAAGAAATTCTGGCTCTTAATCAGTTACCTAAGGGATGTGGTGGCGCTGCGGGCTAAACCGCAGAAGCCTGTGCTGCAGGGTCAGAAGACCAAGCAGTCGTAAGATCGAATCCACGCGACGGAGTGAGCTCCCATCGCTTGTCCCAGCTCCCGCCAACCTAGCGGTTCGAAAGCATGGAAATGCAAGTAGATAAATAGGGACCACTTTGGTGGGAAGGTAACAGCGTTCCGTGTCTAAGTCGCACTGGCCATGTGACCATGGAAGATTGTCTTCAGACAAACGCTGGCTCTATGGCTTGGAAACGGGGATGAGCACCGCCCCCTAGAGTCGAACACGACTGGACAAAAATTGTCAAGGGGAACCTTTACCTTTACCTTTAGTCAGTTACCTGCAATTAGCTGTAGTGAGTTATGCAAATGTTATGCAAACATCAATAGGATTCTGGACCATAAATGATATGGAGCAAAAAATCTTTCAATATACCCTCATATTGAAGTGCTACTGAATCTCCACCTCATTTTCTCTATGTAATTAGGTTCAGCCAACATTGTCCATCAAGAGACAAAGAAGGATCGTTTAATTATGGATAATCATGATGAATTTTACAAGCACCTCGAACAATGCTATCCAAGAGCTCCTGAACTCTGGAGCTTCAGACCACCTAAAAAGAGAAGTAAGGAGAGGATTATGTACTAACAAGACAATTTAATGGTTGTTGTGGGTTTTTCAGGCTCTTTGGCTGTGTTCTGAAGGTTGTTCTTCCTAACATTTCGCCAGTCTCTGTGGCTGGCATCTTCAGAGGACAGCACTCTGAAAGCCTTCGCGAATACATTAAGACAATTTAATTTTGCAGAATTTCATAGCAAGTAATATTACGGTTGGCATTTTGATTTAGAACATATTAACCTGAAAGTAGGTGCCACAACTTACTTGTAAGCAAGAATGGTTAGAGTGACAGAACAAGCATTTTCTGCCTCCGAACTTGTTGAAGAAAATCTTGTAACCAAATATGTACAAACACACTCAATGACTACAACAACATTGACTGGTATTATATAACAGATACAAGTTTTTTTCTTGTTAAAATTTATTAACACCAGTCAATTTTGAGTGAGTGTGCCTGGTGTTTTTGAATAATATTAATAATATAATCTTAGAACTGCAGAACTGGAAGGGACCCTCCAGCCCTTGTCAAGGAGGCACAGTGGGAATCGAACTCTCAATCTCTGGCTCCACAATTAGGGACCTAAACTTAATTGTAATCTTATTTTAATAATTTCAGTAGTTCTATTAAATTCTACAGGAAATAGGAGCCTTGGTGCTGTGTAGTGTCATCAGTTCATGCTGTTGCACACTATCTGAACATATAAGAACAAATTTGTATCAGTTCATATTTCTCAGAACTGCTAAATTGATCTATGTACCATGACAGCGCCATCTACGTTGGTTTGGGCATGTAGTGAGAATGGCTGATGGTCGGATTTCAAAAGATCTCCTGTATGGAGAATTAGTGAAGGGAAACTGCCCCAGAGGCAGCTGCGATACAAGGATATCTGCAAGTGGGATCTGAAGGCCTTAGGAATGGACCTCAACAGATGGGAAACTTTGACGTCTGAGCATTCAGCCTGGAGGCAAGCGGTGCATCATGGCTTTTCCCAATTTGAAGAGACCCTTATCCAGCAGGCCGAGGCAAAAAAGCAGTCCTGAAATAAGCAAAACCAGGGAGCTGGACAGGGGACAGATTGTATTTGTCTTCAATGTGGAACAGATTGTCACTCTCGAATTGGCCTCCTCAGCCACACTAGACGCTGTTCCAAGACCTCCATACAGAACACATTACCATAGTCTCTCGAGACTGAAGGATGCCTACTGACCATGACAGATCTCCCTACATGCTTTCTTTATCCAGAGAGAGAAACTACCCGGCCTCATCAGAAGGGGGCATTTTGAAATAGGTGACTTACACACTGCACAGGCAGAGTCAGGCAAGAGGAGAAGGGGACAACCAAGGATGAGATGGTTGGACAGTGTCATCGAAGCAACCAACATGAATTTGACACAACTCCAGGAGGCGGTGGAAGATAGGAGGGCCTGGCGTGCTCTGGTCCATGGGGTCACGAAGAGTCGGACACGACTAAACGACTGAACAAGCAATTATTTAATTATTTCTGCAGCTGCCATTAATGGCAATTAATGCCCAAAATTTATTGTTTTTCTTTGTCTGTCAGAATCATTTATCTGATTTTTCTGAAATAACACCCAGAATCTTCTTGCTGTTTGCATAACTTGACATGGTTCATTACAGCTAATTGATGTGGTGCCAGGACACATTTCAACTGCACAGTGAGATACCCTGGCACCTTGTCAATTAGCTACAATCAGCTGCAGCGTTATGAAGACCTTATGCAAACACCAGTAGGGAGGTTCAGCCAGGTTATTAACCGCTGAGCCAATAGCTGCCCTTTTGTCATTATACATTTTAATAAATATCCAGCTGATTCCTCCTTTTGATCCTTAATTTCTAGGCAGAGCTTTAAAATACATTTTAGCTGAAACTTCAGCCATATTCAGGTGTCGTGCGAGCAGCATTTCCTAGGATTAACATAAATAGGTAAAATAAACAGACGAGGAGGGAAGTTCTCTAGGCCCATCCCCTTTCCTCACATGCAAAATGACTGTGCATGGATTTGAAATCTTCCAGATAGTGTTTTTTAACAGACAGAGGGGCGCTTCTTCACTACATCATTTTTAATGTGTTAAGTTAGAGCACTCCTTGTGGGTGTATTTTACCTCAATTTCCTAACATCAGAACAGGACCACAGTATTTATACATTGTATTCTGAATCTCATTAATATCCACATTCACTGAGTCCCCACTCATAAATTTGCTAATAATCTTAACACCATTAAAATGGCATTACTGTTTATCTAGAAATTCTTTTATCAGACATGTGAGAATATACTGCAAGCAAATTTACTCTTAGTTTCTGCATTCATTCATATTTGGTTTTGGTGTGTAAAATGGATTGCTGTTAATCTGTTTCCTTTAAAATTCTATTGGGCAAGTTCAAAGAGTGCAGAAGGGAGCCATCCACTGGACAGCACTTCCCACTATAATAGAACATTTTTCCCAACTGGGAGAAGCACAACCCCTTGTACCATCTGGGAGAAAAAGAGATCTGTGCATGAAGCCTGAAGAAGATGTGACTGAGGATACTCATATCCGCAGGACAATGCTGGAACAATGGAAGATTGCTTGGAAATTTGGTGAGTTTTCTGTCCCTCTTTAACCTCTCCATAGTCCTTTCTAATCAATGCCAGATTTCCTATTAATTTCCACTGGTTTTGCCAGTAATAGCTGAGAGACATGACAAACTGCTTTAGGTGGACTGTGTGAAAAAAAGATAGCAATATTGTGTATTTGCTGGGAATACTATTCACCTCTGCATTCTTTGTATTGTTTTTTGCTGCTCAACCTTCAGATCCTCGGTGGCAGTCCGCAACTATAGAAGGCTTAATCAGAGATCTTACAGATGTGCATGTTCAGAATCGGATCAATGCTATATTGACCTGTGCATCTGCTGTGATTGAGCGGCCCCAAGTTGTCCAAGCTCCAAGTCAGGACTCAGGTGTGACCATCCTTTACTGTTTTTTCAGTTAAGCTTTACTAGTATTGCAAGCAAATAGTATGGAACAAATGTAAGAAAAGAAATTCAAGGACTCAGGTATAACAGGTTGCAATACTAGACATACTTAGAAGCATAGAAACTGGATCTCAGCATGACTGGATATCTGAAAATACTGAGTGCTGTTGCTGCATCGGTGCCACAAAAGGAGCATTATTTAGTGAGACAAACAAACAGGCTAGATCTAGTATATCTTGGCAACTGCTCACTTTTGAGGACTTGCAACCTGAAGTTCTTGAAAGACATATAGGAGCTGAATCTGAGATTCTTCCATGTTAAAGTCATATTTTACTACTGAACAAAACCCCTTGTTGATAAATTATCCAAATACTCTATTTGGGAGAAGCATTCCAAAGTTACATAACAGCTTGTAAATTATCTGTTCGCAATTGTTTAATTAATTTTGAGTGCTTCTCTCACTGATGGGATGATACTCTTGATATGAACTAGGTGTTGATAGTTCAAGGCTAGAACGTATGTTTGGAACTGGAAATGCAGAGTTTCTTTTAGAGTCTGACAGATTTTCTTCAGGCCTCTAGTCAAGGCACAGAATCTTTTTCTTTTTCTAGTGTTTCTCAATCACTGCAGTTTTTTCTATTATAGACCTTCGTTTTCCCAAGTATATATTTGAGACACCTTCTGAAATCAAGATGTACGGCTTCATGTTTCCACATAAAGTCTTTCCAGAAAATGATTACTCAGTGAATTAAAAAACATCATACAGTATCACAATTTTAATTTCTGCACCAGCAGCGAAAAACTTATATTCAATTTGTCTCATTTTCCCTCCTCAGTAATTGGAATAGAAGCTGATACAAAGAGTGTAAAAACTGAGGATTTACCAAAGAGCATATGGTGTTTGCTTAAAAATACTCTGCATGACGAGGATGCACATGTGAGAATGGCAGCTGCTGTGTGCTTCTATGCCATAGGAGAATGGCATAAAGAGGCACATGCCATCATGAACAATGCTCTGATAAATGGTTTGTATAGTAGCTTTTTTTCTTTCATTCATATAACCATATTTTAGGGGACTGTCAGTCTCTAAAACCATGATAATGTTTTTTTTTCCAACAAAGAATTAATAGAAATAGGCTAGATAAGGGTCTTAATCCAGTTGCAGTTAACTCAGAAGCCTAACAAAAAACAGTGCGATTGGTTAATCTTATTTTGTGAGTTTAATCAGGGATTAGTTGTTTTAGGTCTTATTTTAAAGTCAAAACATAGTATCTATGTGATAATGTATTATATTTATTCTGTCTCTATATAACCTTTTCAACTATTCTGTTGTGTTTATTAGTATCTTTTTTGTTAACACACACACACACACAAAATAACTGATTTAAATTAAACAAGTGATCTACATCTGTATAAAACTAACATGCAATGGACTTTGTGAAAACAACTTATGTCATGCCTTGCTGCATAACTAATGGTGCAGAGGATCCCACATTTGTAGGATCAAACACTGGATTGTTTTAATTAGCTGGGATGGTGGCACCATCTGCCAACTCTCACACTGTTCCCTCTGACCTTAACTGTTGTCCTTACAGTAGGTTGGATGGGGGTGTGAATATTCTCAGCAAAATTATATTGTTCTGAGCTATCCTTTTTGTAATGTAAAATATTTTGTTGTCTCTTGACCTCAAATAAGTAATCCACATTCCTAAACTTTACAAAATACCTATGCTGCTGGAGGTGAAAATTGTTAAATGTGTTTTTTGATATGGATCTCTATATCTGCCTGTGTCTGGAGACTCTCTTTGGGGAGGACTAACCCTAACTATCCTATTGTTTTCTGTAACTTTTCTTCACTATTAGGTAATGCAGCAGACAGCTGGGCAGCAGCTAACGCCCTGGCCCTGGAGGGCATAACTAGTTTACAAGTAGTAAAGAGGATTATATGTCAGATTTTTGATCAAAAAGATCCTACCGCAGAAGATCAGGCTTGCCTTTTATTGTCTCGACTCAGCAAACATACAGTAAGTCTCAAGGCGCAGGAGGAAAACCACAGTGGGAATGGATGATCCTACCCTAATGATCCTTGCTGTCTCAAGCTAGCCTACCCTTCCTCAATACAACTGTCAAATACTATTTGTACCACAAGAAATGTATGTGGCGTAAAAGAAAGGTACAAGATTTCTTCTGCCATTCTGGTTGGCTTGAGGCAATGTGTTAAGGTCCTGTCTCTGTGCACTGAATGTCAGACTAATCATCTACCTTGTGCGGTTGTGCTACACCTATTAGATATATCTGTGACAATTCTCAGTCATCCAAGTGACTTCCAGTTCTGGAAGGTGAAGTCCAAAATGCAGCAGCCAGATTGCTAACTGGGACTTGTTGCAGGGATTACATAACCCCCCCTCCCCCAATACAGTAGCTCAATTGACTGCCAGTCCATTTCTGGGCTGAATTCAAGGTGTTGGTCGTAAGCTATCTGAAGGATGGCATCTTCCTTTATGAGCCTGCTCGAGTGTTAGGATTATCAGGAGATGCCTTTCTCTCAGTTCCCCCTACCTTCACTGGTGTGCTTAGTGGACATGAAAGATGGCCTTCTCTGTTGCTGCTCTCAGACTTTGAAACTCCCTACCACAAGAAGCCAGGCTGGCCCCATCTTTGCTGGGGTAAAAGGAGGGATAAAATAAAATAAAATAAAATTTTAAAAGATGTCAAGTTTTACATAGCAAAGGGAAGTCTGGATGTTGATTTATTTATTTATTTATTTGATTTATACCCCGTCTATCTGGATCGATGGACCACTCTAGGCGGCGATTCATACACCACCACCACATATTCCAACACTCACTTCAAGCATGCTCACATGAGGGATTTTCTTTTTCATTCAGAGCTATTCCTTTACCTGGGTCCTATTTGGAAATATTCCCATCCATTATTTTATCTCTTTTTCTCTTCTTCCTTAGAATGCACTCATTTAGCTTGGAGTCACGGATATAATTTTGGTAAAGTAATCGTGCAGCTCTGTTCTCTAGGCTTCTATAACACAGAAGCCACAGAGAAAGATCGACAGAGAGGGATCAGATACTGATACGTAGCACCCAATTTGCATTTGTTGTCCAATGTCATCAAGTTGCTTCTGACCTACGATGACTATGTGTCAGTCAGCAGGAGGCAAAACAGCTGGAGAGTGTACCATCCCCTCAGCAGTCTAAGAGGGAAGGAGAAACACGCGGAAAGGAGAATCCAAAGGAAGGGACAGAGGAAAAAGAAATAAAGAGACAGGAAAAGAGATAGGAGAAGCAGAAGGATTAGATAAGGAACAGGATTCAAAGCTACACAGATAGAAGAAGTGGAAAGGGTAGATAAAGAACAAGAACCAGCTGTGCACGAGATCAAGGAAAGGGCAAAGGATTTAGGAGTGAAGGAAAAGGGGGAGGAGTTAGAAGGAAAGATTCGACAGGAGGTAAAAGTCTTTTTAATGATAGAGGGAAAAAACAGTGGGGAGAGACAGAGAAAGTGAAAGTGTATGAGGAGAATTGGGAAATTAATAAATCTGATGATGCTAAGATATTTAAACTACCGAAAACGGATATAGGAAGGGGGATTATAAAGGGAGAAGCAGTTGGGGGGTGAAAGAGAGAAGTGATGAAAAAGTAGGATCAAAGCCAATAATAGCAAGGCTTGATCCAGAAGAATGGACGGTATTAGTGTTCCCTCAGGGATGATGTCGTATGAAGGTTGTAAATCGGCAGAAACCTCTCTGATTGAACAAGAAACCAAGGGAAGGTGAATGGTCCCAACACCCATGTCGTGGGACCATATGTGCACTGCGGAGTGGCAACTTGAGGAACCCCAACGACAAAAAAAAGATTTCGAGAACATATCAATCTTAGAAGAAGAAATGTTAAATAAGTCTTTACCTTTTTTATAAGATGTTACACTTGAAAAGTTACATTTGAAGTTAACAAGAATATAAAAAAGCAACAATCCATTTATACTGTTAATAAAAATGTGTTTAATAATACTCCATTGATGTCATTTCATTTACATGATGAGGAATTGTCTAAACAAGTTAATGAACCCAGTTACAACATGTGAATTAATTACATCCAAAAGGTCTTTAAGAATGTTGATAGATTCAGTCTCTGTAGCTCAAAATAAGTCTGTTGGTATCTCATGAACTTTTGATTATTTATTTCTTCCAATGCCTTTGCAGCTTTCACTTCACTTTATAAAGCTGCAGATCCTTATTAGTAATCAAATAATTCTTCTTTGAAGGAATCTTGTCATCCTTGAATCTCTCCAATATGGTTCTTCAGTATATTATTTCCATCTTCTTGTTGTTTTATCCCACTCAGATTAGCTTTCCTTATCCCTAATCAAGGTTTAAATTTCCCTTTAATTCCTTGAATCTTATCGAAGATATTTCTTTTTGTTCTCTTTTAATTCTTTACAAGGAATATTATTTCTTTTTTTACCAAAGCCACTGAAATTCTAAAACATTTAGAATTCTAACCTTACTTCTGTCACTTTTACTTTTGTTTCTCATAAATTGGTAATAAATTTAAGAGTTTCCTCAGTCATCTATCGATTTTTCTTTTCTTTTGACTACAGGAATAGTCTTTCTACATTGTTTCCTCATGATGTTTGTTCTCTGTCTAAAGTTCTTCTGCTTCAATGTCAGTTGGGTTTAGTAACACAAATCTGTGTTCTTTAGAATGTTATTTAACATCATGGGCCTGATCCCCCAAAACATGAGAATGGGGAGGAATTTTTGAATCGTGCAGGCCCTCAATCACTGGCAGCTTAGGACACTAGATTCCTGCGAAAAAGCAGCTTGATACCTAAGCACAAAGTAAATAATTTTTGTATTGGCCATCCATTGACAATGAAACATAATTGTCTATTAAGCTGCCTAAAGCATGTATCCCCCCCCCCAAATATTATGTTATTATGTTGAAAATTTCTGTGAATTGCTGTTCTGCTTAGTTTCTAGGCCAAATACTTTAAAAATGGTTGTTTCTGCTTTATTTTCTTCTTTTTCTGTTCTAGTTACCTGTTCTAGTCATTTGTGATTATCAGCAAATCCTGTTCTGATGTGCGATAAGTTTCCTCTTGGACATGTGCATAAAAGCTTTTGCTTTCTTCTTTTCTATCTGTACCTGAAGCACAAAGTTTATTGATAATCATATTGATAGTCTTTCCATTACAGCCCCTAACAACTTGTACTATCTCTCTCCTCACTACTGTACTGGAGCCACACCATTTCTTCTGTGTTAGTAGCTTCCATAATAAACCATTTTGCAATAATCTGTCCAGTCCACTTAAGTTAGCTCACTTCAAATATTACAGTATTTAAATGTTTCATTTCTAGTTTTACCATTTAAAGTTTAGCTTGATTTATATTTCTCAGATACCATGCTTCACCTATATGTGTAGTACAGCATGCTCATCTGCTGAATGCCCTAAAACAGTTCCACATACAAGGAATGTGGACTAACTGCCATGGCTGAAATCCTGTGCCATACGTTATGCTGCATAAGGTTAATGACATCAGCATACACAGTAACCATGTTTGATAGCTGTCAAACGGGCACTTCAATGCATTCCAATGGGGGAGAAAAAAATCACCAAAAATTAACAAAGACTCAGAAACTGTTTTAAATGCTTGGATTCGTTAGAGCACCTTGTAAAACGTGTGCAAACTTAATTTTGCTTTGTTCTGACTCTTATAGGATGTTACACTTGAAAAGTTACATTTGAAGTTAACAAGAATATAAAAATTTCTGTGAATTGCTGTTCTGCTGAGTTTCTAGGCAAAATAATTTAAAAATGGTTGTTTCTGCTTTATTTTCTTCTTTTTCTGTTCTAGTTACCTGTTCTAGTCATTTGTCTTTTCAACTCTTTTATTACAGTTAAATCCTTACTACCAAGCAAAAATTCTGTAGCTCTGGAAGAGGCAAATCTTCCTTACCTATCATGTGACAGTCATAATTATGAAAACTTTGCATAGTATTTTTCTGTTCAGAAGGCGCTTTATAATATTTATTTATTGTAGATGCCTTCTCAGTGTCAGACACAGACAGTAATTCCTTGCAAAAAAAAAGCGATTTAAAATAAAAATTAATGGAAATTGAAATCCAGATGGTTTTCTGAGTGGTGACACCTCCTTTGATGTAATTTTTTGTGAGTTCCATTATCTTCTTATGCAATTTATTGCCTTAATCTTTCCAGAGCTTGGTTCATTGTTTACTGGCATCTGAACTGAACAGCTATCAATGGAAACATCGGGTTTTGGCTTGTAAAACATTATCTCGTATTCCTGGGAGTGTCAGCCAGGTATGTTTTCTCTCCTAAAGGCAACATGGAAGATAATATTGCTAGGACTGTCTTCCTGACATGACTGGTCTTCATTCTTAGGCTGTTGAAGTGAAATAAATTCCATACGACATTTTATTTTTAGAGAGTTTAGGCTAAGGCTCACTTAACACAATCTGCTTTTCCCCCCAGTGGGCACGTAGTAGGATTGTATTGTTAGCCACCAAAACAACTGTTTAATTTAAAAGGCAACTCAGTGGCACTTATACAGTATTAAACATATAGCCTTGGTCTTCAGATACGTTTAACATAAAGATATTCAGACAAGAGATTTTATCCATTTTCTCCCATTCCTGCAGACAGTTGTTCTCCCTGCAAAAGCTTTTGAATAAGCTGAGTCACCCTCCTTCAGGAGGGTCCTGATCCTTCCAGATAAGCTTGTTGGGGGGAATGATATGCAGTATAAGACATTCCTTCCCACAAAAGCTCTGTATATATCTGGGGAGCCAAGCTTATATTCCATGCACTCACTGGGCAGTGGAAAAGTACAAGCTATACTTTTTATATTTGGCAGAAAGCCCCAGCCTTATACCCCCTGCCCACTAATTTCTCTAGTAGGACTTTATGAGGATAGTGGGGTGTGTGTGTGGCCTCTTTTGCTCCTCTCTTCCCCACGAGGCAGACACAGGGAGCTACCAACAACAGGAAGAACTGTATAATTTTGGAATGGTATCTGTTGAATCGATTAATCCATGCAACCTAATGTTAACTTTAGTCCCGGCATCAGCTAACCTCTTGTTTTTCCCTGCAGGATCTCAAGAACAAAATTGTCCAGCTGATGTGGACAGACTGGAAGTTTGATGTACGCCAGGCTGCTGCCAAGGCTTTGGGCCATTTGGAACTTGGGAAGGAGGTTCATGATCAGCTTAGGTGAGAGAGCTACACAACATGGTAGCCATCTAAATCTCTACCAAACTATATGTGATACTTATTCAGGTTGCAGATGTCCTTTATACTGAAAACTAGCTGCCTCCTTAACATCTCAGCATTTAAAACAGTGGGATGTTTGGAAACCCTTGTGTTTGCAAGAAACTCTCCTTCACTTTCTTTGATTTAGCATGGGATGGTAAAAGTGGGATTATATATCATAAAAGTTGTAATGATTTGGAGTGTACAACAGCAATGGCGTTGTACACTCCAAATCATACTGAATGCATATAATTGAATCTTATATGCATTCAATGAAGAGAATGGGAGCTTTCTGCCTCCCCCCCTTTCCTGTAACCTGTTTCCTGGAAATATTTTCTTGAAGGTTACAAGATCCTCTGGAGGAGACAGGCAGAAGCTGTAGCAAAAAGGAAGACTTGCTGGAAATCAGTAAAAACCTCCCGTTTGTGGTACTGGGAGTGCTTTCTCTTGCACAAGACTTGCTTTGATCAAAGCTCATGGCCTTACCCATACCTACTGTGCATATCTTTTCAAAACATGTTTAGTTGACACATATGAAGACCTTAGTATTTCACTCTGAGGGTTTTGCTGGTCAGAAAGGCAACAGACATCTGATAACTTATAACTTATAAAGCCCTAAAGGAGGGTTTTGCTGGTCAGAAAGGCAACAGATATCTGCTTTAAATATAAAATAGATACTGCTGATTCTATTATGTTGACTCAGTGCTAATGACTGGCCCTTGAACTTCAAATAATTAGCTCAGCCTCCAAGTTTGAACAACTTCTGTCTTGCATATGCAAACCAAGTCCAGCTATTGTTCATTGGAACATAATTGTGTTTTCAGGGAGTGGCTGAAGAGAGGAGATTGCCGGATGAGAGTAGAAGCTCTTTCATTGATAGGCTGGCTGCAGCTCATGACAGCCAGGCTGCTCCCTGGCTTTCTCCAGTGCTTCTCTAATGACTTTGTAGCAGTCCGAAAAGAAGCCTGCTGTGCAGCAGGTGCACTAAGGATTAAAGAAGAGACGGTGAGTGGTGATATGCCTGACAAAGGCCCTGAATGCAGAGAGAAGGATAATATGTATTCTGAATGCAGAGGTGGCTACTGATCTGTGAACAGAACTAGCCCTATGAATGCATGTCTACTGACAGCTGTCAAATTGTTCTATTTTTTTTTTTAAAAAATTGTTTCCTTTTTAGGTTCTTAAATGCCTTTTTAAGATAATGCAGACTGACCCCCTCTGGAAGATCAAGGCTCTAGCCATCAGAGGTATTGTACTGGCCTAATCTCTGGTATTTCCTATTTAGGTGTAGACACAATCTGTAAATAGTTTCAAACCTTCAGTTTAAGATGTTCAAAATGTTGTAAAAACTTCATGAAGATTTTAATTGTCTGGAGTAATATGGCTTCATCTGCACAATTAATTCCAAGAGAATAAATTGTAATGTGTTGTCAAATTACATCCAACTTACAGTATGGTGACCTTAACAAGATATTCAAGTGAGATGTAAGGAATGCTTTTTTTACCATTGGTATCCCCAGTGAGTTTCCATGGGCAAGAGTGGATGACCCCAGTCTCATCGTCCTAATCTGTCACTCCATCCATTATATCACACCGGCTCTCAAATATATTACAAACATTTAGATAACAAAATATATTCTGAGACTAAGATTGGTGCCAATTCTCTTTACTAATTAACCACCATTTAAGACTGGGAATATCTTCTACAATACAAAAGTGTTTACGTCTCTCTCAGTAGAAAGAGGAGCATCAGGAAAAGATCATGATCAGTTTGAGCAGAAGGCAATCACATAAGTACGGTACTCTCCCTCCTCCAGCAGGCTTCCTTTTGTGTAGTGTATTCAGTCTCACACTGATGGCAAAACTGGCTTCATGATAGGATACCCTGCTAGAATAGGGGAGATGCTTATGTGATTACCTTCCGGTCTAAACTGAATGCTGCCCCACATGTTTAACCACACTGGCTTTTTAATGGCTAATATTGACTTGTAATTTAATGTATGAAGCTGCATTATACTGACTCGCATAGCTAGCCATTTAGCTTATTGTTGTCTACACCAGGGATGGGAAAACACAGGCTAGAGTTGCTAGGAGGTGTAGTCCAACATCTGGAGGGCTGTACTTTGCCTGCCCCTAACCTGCGACGACTTGTAGCCATTCCCTCCAAGGTTTCAGACATGAGTCTTCTTTCCTAGTGCTAGCTAAAGATAGCAGAGATTGAATTTGGGACTTTTTGCACACAAGCATGTGCAGAGCTACAGTCCCTCTTCTCAGGCACGTTTACCTGAGAACGTCCTGCATATTAAGTGTAAATCATATTACATCCTTATTATTTATTTACTATTGGCTGGATTCAGACTCAGCCATATTTAATAATAATAATAATGTGCTGTTAAGTCAATTCTGACTTATGGCAACCCTTCTCAGGGTTTTCCAGATATAGAGTACACAGACGTGGTTTACCATTTCCTTCTTCTGAGGGTGCCCTGGGACTGTGCAGCTTGCCCAAGGCCACATAGGCTGGCTCTACTCACAGGAGACACAGTAGGGAATCGAACTCCCAACCTTTGGCTCCTCAGCCAGATACTTAAACCACTGAGCTATCCTGCCAGCTGAGCCATACTTAGACCTTTTGAAATCCATAGGGCTCAGTTAGTCATAACTAATTTTATCCCTATTGCTTTCAGTGGGTCTAGTCAATGCATGCCTAAGTCTGCATATGAATTTGCATCTTACATTTGAGATAAATGTCACCCCCACCCCCCAAAGCATTTCAGCCTACAAGCTGAAAGGACAAATGTATAAGGAAAGGGACCTGGAGGAAAAAGAACAAGCAGGGAGATGGGGTGTCTCCTCCCCCCCCTTTTTAAACACAGCTATAAACTGGTCTTGGGTCTCTGTGACAGAACAGCAGGATACAAATGCTTTTAGTAGACAAATAAATTAACCCAAATGCTTACCATTTGTATAGCATCTCAAATATTCAAAGTCTTCATATATATTGCCGAGGAAGGTACAGAAAGGGTTTGGATGATAGGGAAGTATTGGAGTCCTTGATGCTACAGATGGGTGTCTTACACTCTCACTTTGGGTGAAACCAATGAAGAGTACTGTATTCTGGCAACATAAAAACTAACACCTCATATAATACAAGCACTGGTTTATAAAAGCTCTAATCACATAAAACTAATCAAGCTGTTAGCCTTAAAGTCACTACAGGACTTTTCATTGCTTTTGTAGCAATACAAGATACGGCTATCTCTTTAGAAACAGACTAAGGCCATTTCGTAAGTCAAAGTCTGAGGTGATTGCAACATTCTTAAGAGGCAAAGAAAAGGCTCTTAATGTGCAAGTTAAAAAATGCTGATAAAAGCTCAGGAACATAAATGTTTGTTTTTTGTTATAATGCAGCTTCAGCGGAGAGCTTTTCTAAAGGAACACAGTTATTGGGAGAAAATTATACTTCCTTTCTGTGCTTGCTGTGATTTTGATAATTACCAGCACCACAGTAGCAGCATTTTACATTTTTAAAGTCTATGCAAGTTAAATATAAATACGTATTTAGTGTCAAACCTAATTTGGCTCTTAGCAGGTAACAGTTACACCAACTATCACACTTATTCCGTTAACAGGTAATTATCACCTTTGCCTGCCTCAGCAACCTCTCTTTACTGTTAAATCAAAACTGTTTTGGAGCCTCACACTCCACTAGGGTAAACATTCCACTTTTCAATTTATTAATATACACAGCCTGGCACAATAGTAGACTTCAGTTGCTTAAAGATGCTCACTGTGAGCAAGGTGAGCAATACTACTTGGATCTATAAAAGATAAACTGAACATCATCAGTTTTGTGCTTCAAGGGACAAAGGACTGCTAGGACAATATTGGAAAATAATCATTCCTTTTTTTGCCCCCTTCCACTTCAGTGAAAGCTGTGGTTCCATTTCAAAATGCAGAATACAAACTAGAGGTATGCAGCGGTCCATTCATCTGCCAGGCAGATTGATGGACAAATCTGCTGGGTCTCAGTGTATCATTTTCCTGGTATGAAATAAAATCTGTTTCTTTTTCTGGCAGCTCTTGGTCAGATAGGTGAGGCAAGCCCCTACCTGAAAGAACTTCTGCTCTGGGCGCTTCATTATGAAGAAGATCCTGGAGTACGAAGGGAAGCTTGCCGAAGTATCATCACCCTCAAGATGGAGGATGAAACCGTTCGGGCTGCATTACTGGAAAGAATGATACTGGAACCAAATGAACTAGTCAAAGAGTAAGTCATTTGTTTTCTTGAAAAAGAAACATTTCTGTGTTTAGAAAAAAATAGGAAAATATTATCCTAGGACTCTTGGGTGGGTGTGCAAAGCATTTTTATTTAGTACAGTAGCATCTGCAAAGAAATTCTTAGGGTTTTATTTATTAATCTGTTCCAGGGGAAAAGAGGTCTTGTGGCATCTTAAAGACGAACAAGTTTTATTTGGCACAAGCTTTTTAAGGACCACAGACCATCTGCCTTAAGCTTCAGGCAAACAGAGACAGTGCTTGACATCTCATTGATTTCATTTGACCATCTCTCATATGTTGTGGGTGAGGGAGGAAGTTTTGGCCTGTCGGCTATAAACATCCATTGTCGCACAGTAGACAAGTGAGAGGAGAATGTACACATGAGAGGTTCCAGAGACAGTCATTTCTTTCCCCAGCTCAGCATGAATTAATTCCACACAAATACTGCAGTACATGCTTGACAGCTTCCCACATCCACGAAATGAAAGTCCTGCTGAGCTCAAAAGGCTTCTGTCCAGGTAAATGAATTGCAACCAAAATTGAAGGGGTTTCAGAGGAAAGCAGGAGACTATACAACTTGCATGTGAAAATTGTTTTAACAAAGTTTTCCATTATACAGTAGTTGAGCCCTGATCTGACTCTGGCTAGTTAAGTGCAGTGCATGGCGTGTTAAAAGGGTGTATTTTACTTACTAAATGCTCCTGCTTCAATACTTATAATGTTCCAGATCACTTAGATCAGTGGCAGCGAACCTTTTTGGACCTGAGTGCCCAAACTGGGGGGGGGGGAACCTGCGGGTGGTGGGCCACAGTGGCGAAACTGGACATGGCAGTGGCGGAACCGGAAGTGGTGGCGGAAGGGGGAATCCTGGGCACGAAGGTGCCTCGAGAACCTATTCCAGATCTGCTGCCAGCACCAGCTGCTCCAGATCCTGGCCCGTCGCCTGTCGATGAGCTAGCACTACGGCTGCAGCCGCCTCCTGAGGTTTGGGGAGGCACAGAGTAGCGATCCGAAGACTTATGGCTCGTGTGCCCGCAGAAAGGGCTCTGTGTGCCAGCTGTGGCACACATGCCATAGGTTTGCCATCACTGACTTAGATTATCTGAGACTTCCACAGAAATTACTAAAACCAGTAGCCTAAGATCTGCCTCATCTTTTCCTGACCTCTCCACATCGTTTCACACTTTGCTCAAAACCGTCAAAATCTCAGTTAGCTATATTCTAACCAGTATCACTTACTTCCAGCATCTTACAGCGTCTATCCTCTACCTCACCTAGTAGCTTTGTACTATGAGCTGGTGAATAGTTTACAGAAACACACACAGTTGCCTTGCTCCAGAATCAGACCAAAGGTCTGTCTAACCTAGTATTAAGTCAACAGTGACTGGCAGCAGATACCCAGAGTTTGAAGCAGGATTTTTTCCTATCCCTACCCGGAGATGTTGGGGACTTGAATCTGGAACTCTCTGTATGCAAAACATGCATGTGAGCCACACAGCCCTCCATCACAGGATTGTGGACAAATAATAGGGAAACTGAGTGTGATATAAGGACACACTAGGGGGCCTTTGCCAGCCTGTGAGGAACCAACCTTGCTCTGGGTCTGCTAGGCCAATACTCATCATCCCTTTCTGCAGAGTGACCAAAGGCTGAAGGACTCCTGTCATCCACCCATTATGTGACACCGAAAGAATTTGGACACTTGGGGAAGCATGAAGGAAAATGGAAACTAAAGCCTGCTTCTCCTGAATCTAAAAGTCTAAAGCTAAAGGTCACACAATTTCTGTGGAAAGGAGGAACACACTGCTCTCCTGAACCTATTAAAGGCCACACCTCTTAACACCAAATTGCAATGATATGATTAAAATATAATAAAAAGCCAGTACTGTATTTGCCTATCAAACAAAATGTTTGAGGAGTGCACCCTTATTTATAAGCTGATCAGTGCTTCTTAGGCCACCAATAAACTTGCAAGCATTAATTGCCTGCAAACTCTGTTTTAATTTGAACATTGTTCCTTTTAAACACCGTATCTGAATAAGAATACAATTATGTATTAAGCCAAATAAGCATAGGGCTAAGTTCAATATTAATGTTCATTCAAGCAACAGGGGTTCCCCTCCCTCCCAAATCCATCTGCACACTAGGTTTAGATTTAGTGGGCCATCGGAATGTATTGAGTGGGCACATGGAAGACTTGGGAACTTCATAGTATTGTAGCTTATTTATGATTGTGAAAGCACTGGACACCACTGGATACAGCCTACAGGCAGATAAGCGAGACAATTAGGAACTAGCTAATTCATTACCAAATTTTCATTTTGAGATTTCTGCAGCTCCACACAGCCATCATGCCCTCTATTCCTTCCAATTCAGGGAAGTGAATCGTGCTATAATCACTTTCAAGTTTCAGCAGGAAGAGAAACATGAAATGATCCAGAAGATCAAGGACAAGGTAAAAAAAGCACTATAAGATTACATTAAACTTTTTGTAGAGTTAGAAAGCACATTTTGAAAATACCTCTTTGGACCACAATCTAGCCCTTCACATTTGTGTAATTTTGGAATATTCAAAGCAATACGGAATCATTATCTGTAAGTTGTATACCTCTTTAGAATGGGCTATAGAATTATGCAGGAGCAATTGCATGCAGTCTGGATAGGATTAGAGGGGCATACAGTATTCCAGTGTGTCAGAGCATCTATGAAGTCAAAGAATGGATTTAATTTACAAACATAGATATGACAGAGAATATTTAGTACTGGGGAAGGAATATCTGGGGTATAAAACAAATTATTTTCTGTGTGCCATTTACTGCTCTAATTTATGTGCATGAGAGCTTATTCAAGCCTCTCAAATACATGGCACCACTATGGAAGAACTACACTTGGATGTACATCCTCGTTGTCTAGCAACAGCAAGCAGATGGTTCTGTTGCTGTACCATTCCATGATGGCTGCTTTCATAGTTTCAGCTCTGGCTTCATATCCCAAGATAACAGAGAACAAGAACTTTACTGATGACTTGAATCTTGACAGGTTAATGCAACATTCTCCAGCTGGTGCCCCCAGGTATGTTGGATCTGCAACTCCCAGAATCCTTCTAAAATTTTGGAGGCTGCAGTTCAGTGTAACTTGGAGGGCAACAGGTTAGAAAATGCTTTAATCATCTCAACCATCATTTGCTAAACTCATATGTTTCTTAATGTTCCATACACTAATCTTCTATCAACTTTTAATTTCAGGTGCTATGCTTTTAATGAGCACCTGAAACAATCAAGTTGAGTGCATCCTTGAATTATATTGTTTTGAAAGATGAAGTTCAAAGCATTTAGCAGCCCATTCCTCAGAAACATATTCCTCCTCTCTTCATCCCTGTCCTTACAGAATGAAAGGATGCTTAGGGATGTGTGGTCAAATAAAATTAAGATTCAATGTACAGAATAGTTAGAGTAGTTGGACAGTGAATAGTTGGACAGTGTTTCTTAGCCTGCGGTGTAGATGTTTGTATTCTTAGTGGAGGATTTTAGTGGGTGGGGAGTGTTTGGGGATTTTTTTTAATGTGTGTGCATGTGAGTCTGGTCTCTGGGTGTCTGTGTGAATTTCGTTGTATGGGTATACTATGTATATACTTACAATGACAATAAATTTATTTACAGTCTAGTAATAAATAGTACCTCAAAAATTTTTCATGCAGATTGCCTCATTAAGCCAAAAACACTTGGTGACTGAGAAAGTTCTGAAACTTCAAGAGATAACAAGGAACACATGGCAAGAAGCCCATCGCATCTATCGTGAAAAGGGAGACATCTTCGCATACAGAGAGATTCGAGATATCTTCCTTGCTATCGTTCAAACTACATTCACTGGTAATTTGGGAAGGAAAATGGGAGTTGGTGTTATTTTAGTGTTCCTCAAGGCGTATTTTAAGCCATTGTTCAATCTCATGGAATATAGAATAAGAGTGTATTAAAGGAGCTTGTTTGGAAATCTCCTTTGAAGGGAAGTAATTAACTGAAGCACTCTGCTGAAGGTTTTTTTTTTAAAAGACTGTGTCTCTGTGATATGCAAAATCATCAGTTTCATGAATGGAACAAGGCTTTTTTTTTACCTAATCAGACTGGTATCTAGTATCCATAACTTAATACGCCTATGGTTGTCTCTATGAGTCTGGTGCACTATTTCAGTTTCTATTCATATAATTTTTGAGAGACACCCAATTCATAATTTCTCGAATATGTTATTTCATCATTACAGATAGCTCCTCTGACAATACAGATTACAATTACTTCATGCCAACAACATTTATCATTGCTATTGCTGATTTGCTACCAGTCTTCTGATGATAAACCTCTCTTTACTTAGCTAGGCTGGTCCTTAGATGCCAGACCTGCCAACTGCCACCAGGATCATATTCAAAGCCTTAGCAGAATACTGTAGCCTTCCAGGCCTTCTGCTCTGGGAAATAAACTATCTCCACAGCACAATGTGGCAGTGGAATAAGACCTTGTGGGAGATGTAAGCAATATTATAGTTAAACATGAAATTGTTATTTTTGCTAAAGAGAAAGATGTAATTACCATTTCTACTTCTGGCAAGCCTTACAGAACTAGAGATTTTAGGCATTTTATTTTGGGAGGCTGTTCAAAATGAAATACTGTACTATAAATATTTAATACATAGCACTACCTTCTTTCATTAACTAGACTAAAATATGTATTTTTTTGTGTGTTTAGATGAAACTCGCTGTCCCAGCAGGTCATTCTCAAAGCTTTGGATGGGTGTTTTAAATTTACTAGTAAGTACAAGACACCGGCATTTTTATTCAAAAATGTATTTATTTGAATGATATCTTATAGAGATGATAGAGGTTTCTTAGTAATCAACAATCCCTTCTCAAACAGAACAGTGGCCAAAGCAATCTTATCATCCAACGTAGCACAAGGAAGGGCTTTCACGCTGATAAAATTTGGGTAAGAAGACAGCAAAAATTCAATACCATCTGCATATTCAGGCTCTATTTCACAATACTTGGGCTCCTCCTTGTGGTACACTCTTGAATTTTCTGTCGTATAATACAGCAATAGGCTGTCTCCTTCATTGCACAACCTGATAATGCCATACCGAAGTAGACGTACCTGTGTCTTTCCCTTGATCTGAACATCAACATTCTGAATGTTTCCATTCTCCCAACGTGCTGGATGTCCATACACACTCAGTGCTTTTTCGCTCTCATTCAGAACTGGAGGGAGGCAATCATGAAGAAAAGCCTTGGTTTTTTGATCCACCGCAGCATCAACTGGTGCGTAATCCACCAGTTTAGTTATTAAAGTATTGATCTTTTGTATAAAGGCAGCACGGCGAGGATCAACATGATCCGAGTTTAAGACTCCCATGTACTCTAAGTAGTCTATAGGCAGACCTTGGCGATACTCCACATCTTCTTCAACAGCGATCTGTAATGCTGCAGGGAGGAGCTTTTCCAACAGGTCTGCCCAGGAATTTCGCTGGTATGAGGAAACCGTTATATGGAGTGAATGGGCATCTGGAAGGCAGTCCCCTTGATGGATAAAACCACGGGGGAAATACAGGAGGTCCCCTGTTTCTAATATAGTCTCTACAATGGGCTCTCCGATCTCTGTCTGGCTAAAGTTGTTGCTGGAGAACTGAGGCAATACTTCAGCCTCTCTCCTAGGGCTGTAAACCCGCCAGTGCTTCTTTCCTTCCAACTGGATTACAAAAGCTTCAATGTCATCATAATGAGGTGCAAAGCCCTGGGTACCAGGGGGAGTCAAGTAGGTGTTGGCACCAGCCATGCTGCCAAAGTGCTCCTGTAGGATGGCGAGGAACTGCCAAACGGTGGAAGAAAAGGCTTGGGGGTTTAGCAGCCTGAGCGAACACCCGTGCTTGTAGAAGTCCCACACCACGGCCGGCAGCGCCCTGCCCACTGGGTTGTGCGTCTCTCTTTTCCCATCTGCATAGCTGGTCACATCCAAGTTGACACCGAACTGGACATCATTGTCACGCAGAATGGCATCAAACTCGGCGGTGGAGAAGAGGCCCTGGTAATAATTCGGGTTGTGCCTGTGGATCAGGAGGGGCTTTTTCTCCCAATATTGATCAAAGAAGCACTGCGGGGAAATCGGACTAAGGAGCCACTCGAAAAGCTTGGCGGCCCGCTGCCGGCTGTGCTGGATGCTCCCCAGGTCACGGAGGAGGCGCCGGAGGGAGGAAGGACACCGGGGGAAGAGCGCCTGGCTGTCTCCGATGGATGGGGATGATAGTGGTGGTGATGGTGCCGCCGCCGCAGCCGCCGCCACGTCGGGCTGTTCATTTGTCCGGCCACGGTTGCGTTTCCTCGGCCTAGTCATCTCTCGGGTCTCCGGAGACGCAGTGCAGTTGGCTTTCAAGCTCACCCTTCGTTTCTTTGCAAGTTTCTCCCTCGCTACCGGGGAAGCATCGGCGACTCCATCCCGCTTCCCCCTGGCGGTCCCCGGGACTGGACGGGGGTCTGCAGGCTGCTCTCCACTGACGGCCTTTGGAAGAGAACGGGGATCGCTCTGCTGCTCCCCCCTGACGGCCCCCGGTGTAACCCCCGCGGCTTCCTGCTTAATCACGGGTCGTCTCTTCTTCCCCCGCCGCTTCAAGGAGACGAACACGCCGGGCGCTGGCAGAGAGGGCCGCTCCCGCTGCTGGAGGGCAGAACGATAGACCGCCAGCGCAGAAACACGCGCGCCCTCCGCCGCCATGCCAGTCCAGCCAGAGGCGAGCGAGGGCCTCGGCCGGTAAGCGCGGGCAAGCACCAGCTTCCGGTCTAGGAGGGCGCTTTAATGACTCTTCTTCCGGTCTGGGCCGGCCCGCGTGCATTCCAGGCCCCGCCCACGGATCATGGTTCTCCAACAACTCACGTGACACGACTTCGGCGCGGACTGGAGTCGCGCATTGTTCCCGCTCTCGCCGGCGTTCTTTTCTGGATCCGTTCCCTTCCCTGTCGGACTCCCAAAATAAATAAATAAATAAATAAATAAATAAATAAATAAATGTATGTATGTATGTATGTATGTATGTATGTATGTATGTATGTATGTATGTATGTATGTATGTATGTATGTGTACGGCCAGGCAGGTTGCGAGAGCTTTAATCCTAGGCATCTTTATCTCGGGATAGTTATTTAGAAGTCTTGATTTCTGACTAAAGGTGCGCAGCTGAGGGCGTAAGCTTATACACTACTGTACTACCCTATAGCCGAGCGCACGTTTTGCACGCCTCAAAGGTGAATGCTGTTGAACTCAGCATGACTTGCTTATGAGTAAACATCCGTAGGGAAGCAGACTGCAATCCTAAACTATTTCTGTCAACACAGTTAAGCTGGATTTAAGGCTGAGCAGTTCCACCAGGATACTTTGTCATATGCACAAATCCTCACCATTTATTTTATAGCCAGATTTGAAAAGGGTAATGGCAGTATTACTAACCTGCTTAATAGATAATAAGGATTAATGTTATTTAAAATATATCCAACAGACTGATGGTTTTAAGGAATGCAGATAGTTTTACATAATTTTTGTTGCCAGGTAGAATGGAAGGCTTCTAATAAGAAGTCCTGTGGCATCTTTAGCAAATCAACTTAAATGCATTAATAATGGTGTGAAGGGGGAAATATTTCTTGATTTAGAGTCATTTATATTATGGTTGGTTGGTTGGTGCCCCCCAATCGTTCCTGCACAAAATAAACTTAAGAATTTAAAGGGACTTATTTCTGGCATGTGGCAGACACAGGCTTCAGTAGGAATGGTGTTTATCCCCAAATTGCTTAAGGAAGTGCCAAGTTAGTGTCAGCAAGATTTAGTTACAGTACATGTATTTACTGAGACATCCTGCTATGTTTGGTGGGGTTTTACTCCTAGAGAAGTGAGCACAGGATTGCCACCTAAATCACCTACTCTAGCAAACTATACCTCACTGTAATTACAGTTACATAAATTTAAATACTCTTATTAACGTAGTTGGTGCGCCTGCTATCAAGACTGAAATCTGAAATGCACATCTAAATCTTTAAGTGGACCAAGGGCTTGCTCCACAACCTTTTTATTTTGGCAATTTAGGAATAATCCAGAGGTTGGAAATGTTACTTTTTGGGCTGCAGCTTCCATAATGGTCATGCTGACTGGGAAATTCTGAGAGCTGTCGTTCGAAAAGGTAATTTTTACAAGCTGTGGAGAACTGAGCCTCAAGTGACAGTCTGATATACAGTAATTTCAATGTGGTTGCCCAAATTATCTTGATTTAAACAGGCACAACTTTACTATTCATAATGTGACAATTTTGACAATTTGTCATTTGAAGTTTCAACATGAATCGACCAGCTGTAGAAATAACTAATAGATAAGAAGCAATGCTTGAATATTATTCACACACAATCTATATGCACAAATTATGGACAAATTAGTTGCTGGGAGGGGTTTGCATCAAAATCAGGGAAAGGTATAATTTGCTCAAGGATATATTGGTTGGTTTTATATACCACTACATTAGTACAAGCACTACAATATTTATTTCTTTATTTCTACTATTTATATTTTATTTATATAGGGTTATTTGTGAAGAGATACAGGAGCATAGCCTGTATATGATTTCATTTTTGTCTAATCATATATCGCTTTCATATTTTAATCTTGCATTTCAGCCTTGGCTGGGAATCCCACCAAACCCATGGACACAAAGAGCTTTCTTAGAAGCAATGGAAGTATACAATGCTGAGAGGAAGAATCTGCCAAGAAGCCCAAAACACCCACAGGGAAACAGAAAGAATCCAGCGTCCTCAAGGAGAGTGAGGAAACGCTGCCCAGTATCTATTTTTGTGCCATGACTGACTACTTTGTTTACTTAGCTGACCCTTTTACTGTGGGAAAGAAGATACAAATATTTTGACTAGTCTTCTAAGGTTGTGTACATGCAGTACCTTCTCAGAGGCCTGGAGAAGGAATCATAAAGCTATTCTTGCTTGTAGTATACTTGCCAGTTTTTGTCTCCCCCACCCCATGTTGTGCAGGTATGTGAGACACTGTGCTTCGAGCTATATAAAGGGAGAGCAGAAAAAAGATGCAAAACACATCCCATTGTAGCAATGGTGATAATACTTCTGTGATTGATGTGCATCCATCATGGGCACCTGCATTCATCTCTGGATTTTGCCACTATTTGCTGGTGTCGGGGAAAAAAAACATTTCTTCTGACAGATGTTACACCAGGGCATGGTGTGTGTTGTTTTACTTGATAAAAAGAATGTGATACATTTGTTTTCTCTATACCATTCAGGAGAATTGTAAAGCTTCTGGCTGGTTTTTCCCAATGACCCGATGTATACTCTTAATAATATGTGGAGTAAAATGCTTAAAGAATTTCCACACTAGCATACTTCTGACTAAATATATATTTGTTTTTCTCTTGCACATATAAACACTGCTGTTACAGCTGTAACAAATTTGTTCTGCCTGCTGTCCTTTGCTGCTGGAAATTAGAGATCAGTTTTACATTGAAAGATGGGTCCTTTTTGTTGTATGGTACAGGCATACTAAAAATTGTAAGTAAAAAGCTGACACTATTGTAGTTAGCATGGCATTCTTATTTTTCAACCAAAAAGGGGGGGAAAGCCATGTGGTCCTTGTACACAATCCAAAGGCAAGGGTAGGTGAGACCTTTACTAGACCACAAAACAATCTCAAGCGTATGTTGTGTGTTGTCAAAAGCTAATGTTTGTGGGGTCTTAGTGTTCTAATATAACCCATCCTGACAGAGCATCCAACTGTACTATATATAAGAGATAACAGAGCACACTATTTCACAGCACTTTGACTTAAAAAAGAAGGCCAAAGAGCACTACTGCTTGTTGTGGCAGCAATTTTGGTGGTAAAGTTTGTTTAGCATTCAATATGGTAGTGGAGTGGGCATAAAACATCCAGCTGTGTACAATCTATAGGGTGCACATTTCCTACCCCTCCTCTGTGAGAGTCCAGTTACTGGTTTAATAAGTATGAAATATTTAGACTCAGATTATTTTTATGACCTATTTTAGCCTGGAAAACAAGACATTTTAATAGAAACAATGGCTCAAAGTTGTAACTAAAATAGGCCCACTGACTCAATGGAACTTACAGAGGAGTTGACTCACCAAATCTCCACTGATTCAGTAGACCTACTCTAGTTGTGTGTTAGTACTGAGTTTTAGGTGTTTTTATCCATTATAGACACTTATTTGGATAATCATATTCACAATTATATTTTATGCATATAATTTTGGCTCTAAACTGTAGCTATCTCTGAGGAAAGCTAAGAGTAACCTTGTGCACACTTAGTTTTGCCTCATTTGTTTAAATTGGTTTTAGGCTTGCTTAACTATAATCACTATATATAGTGTGTGTGTGTGTGTGTGTGTGTGTGTGTGTGTGTGTGTGCACGCACACACACACACACACACACACAGAATCATGGCCAAATATATTGGCACCCTTGCAATTCTGTCAGAAAATGCAACCTTTCTCTCAGAAAATTGTTGCAGTTGCAAATGTTTTGGTTCAACAAACAAACAAACAAAAAACAGAGAAGAAAAGTCAAATCTAATACAATCCCACACAGAAACCCAAAACTACACTGGCCAAAATTATTGGCACCATTAATATTTGGTAGCACCCCCTTTGGAAAAAATAACTGAAATCAATCGCTTCCTGTAACCATGAATGAGTTTCTTACACCACTCTACTGGAATTTTGGACCACTCTTCTTTGGCAAACTGCTCCCGGGCCTTCAGTTTGAAGGATGCCTTCTCCCAACTGCTGTTTTGAGATCTCTCGACAGGTGTTCTATGGGATTCAGATCTGGACTCATTGCTGGCCATTTCAGAACTCTCCACTACAGTACTTTGTTTGTACCATTTCTGAGTGCTTTTTGAAGTGTGTTTTGGGTCATTGTCCTGGTAGAAAACCGATGACCTCTGATAGAGATGCAGCTTTCTGACACTGGCCACTACGTTGTACCCCATAATTCTTTGGTAATCATCAGATTTTATGATACGTTCACACAGTCAAGGCATACAGTGCCAGAAGCATCACAGCAACCCCAAAACATCTTTGAACCTCCACCATGTTTGATAGTAGGGACTGTGTTTCTTTGAATGCCTCATTTCTTTTTCTGTAAACAGTGCCATGATGTCCTTTACCAAAAAGCTCTGCTTTTGTTGCATCTGTCCAGAGTACATTCTCCCAGAAGGATTGTGGTTTTGTCACATAAGTTTTGGCATACTCTTGTTTTGCTTTTTTATGCTTTTGTGTTAGCAGTGGTATCCTGGGTCTCCTATAGCGTCTTTCAGATGACAATGGATAGTGTGAGCCAACACTGTTGTACTTTGTGTCTGCAGATCAGCTTGAATTTGTTTGGAAATTGATCTGGGTTCTGTATTCACCATTCAAACAACCCTTTGTTGTAATTTTGCTCTTCCGTCCACATCCAGGGAGGTTAGCTACAGTGCCAAGAGCTGTAAACCTCTTGATGATATTGCACACGGTGGACACAGGAACATTAAGATCTCTGGAGATGGATTTGTAGCCTTGAAATTGTTGATGTTTTCTTTATACTTCATTCTTTTCTCCATGCTCAGTATCACAACACGAAGATTGAGTCAACTTTTCTCCATCATAACTGGTAGCAGGTGTGATTACTATATTGCCCACACCTCTTACTTGTAACAGGTGTGTGCAAATGCAAATTAAGGAGCATCACATACTTGAAAAGCAATTATTTCTTATAATTTAGACTTGGTACCAATAATTTTGGCCAGTGCATTTTAGGTTTCTGTGTGGGATTGTATCAGATTTTACTTTTCTTCTCTGTTTGTTTGTGTTGTTCCAACGCAAACCAAAGAAATGAACATTTGAGTACCAAAACATTTGCAACTGCAACAATTTTCTGAGAGAAGGGCTGAATTTTCTGATAGAATTGCAAGGATGCCAGTATTTTTTGCCATGACTGTATATAATGATTATAGTTAAGCAGGCCTAAAACCAATTTAAACAAATTAAACAAAACTAAGTGTTCGCAAGGTTACTCTCAGCTTTCCTCAGAGTTTAGAGCCAAAATTATATGCATAAAACAACCAGGACTGAGTCAGCCAAAAAAACAGACTTCTGGAGAGAGCACGGTCCTACTGAGAATCTGGATTTTTAATTTCCTTTATGTATTTGCACGTTATATTTGTACTTTCATGGCATTGAACAGATACCACCAACTATATTAGAATGTTGTAGTGCTCATGTGAAGAATGGTGAGGTCTAGTCTGGTATACAGCAATATTCCTCTTTGTTCTCAACGCTTAATATGTTGTGACATACCTAAGTGACTGCTGAACACTGACAAGACATTAGAGGTTACCAGAGGTTACTTGGGGAAGACTTCATGTTCTGGAAGCTGGCTGAAACTGTTCTTAGCTGGCCAAATGATCAAGTTGTTGGTGTGAAGTTCAGAAAGATAAGGTATACCTACATAGGTCTAACAGTCTTAGCAAATGCTATACGTTGATGTACAATTCTGTAATTTATTCATATTTGATTTAGAAATCGGTTTGCTCATTAATGAGCTGCTTTGCTATCATTTTGTCAATTAGGGAGATCCAGGAAGTTGACCATGCAGAGATGTGTTAATGAACAGGTGCGCTGCCTATAAAGGTACATGAGGGGCCATTATTGAGCTCTCAGTGTAGACCACACTCTGGAGAAATGCTATGCAACAACTGATTCCCAGGGGTCAACTGTGGCCATTCTTCAGCAACTCCTTTTCTGCCTATGCTAGCTTTCAGTTTTCTCTAAATTATTAGATTTTTAAAATACAGATTTGTTTAAATCCTAAAAACAAACAAACAAAATGATACACATGGGTAGATGTGGATTATCCAGTTGTGTGTTTTTTAAAAAGATTGCATGATAAGATTTTGTTGAATTAGCTAAAAATGAAATATTCAAACATGGAACTACTTTGCTAGCATCACTAGCACACATAGGGACACATATGCACTGGCAGAATAACTCGCTATTTGAATCACTTTCGGTGCTGGTTGGTTTATGACATCTGCACATGTTTTGACTTGGAGTGATCCATCCCACCCCTTTTTAGAGATGTTCCATTCCTTTTTGGTACAGGAGTAGGGCTACAGTTTTTTGGCATGATCGGAGCACTCCTAATTAGCCCGTTCTGTAGACTATGCATATAGCTAGTTTGCACTACAATAAAGCTGTGGGTACTGTTATTGGAGAACACCCCCCTTTTCTATTACCTACTCTGCCATTTTAAATGTTTTAATACAAAGCATGCTTGTTGCTTACATAGTTTTATATTGATGCAGCATTGTTCTCTATAAATGCAATACTGTACATCAGTGATATTATGTGCATCATGCCAGGTAGATGTATTGCTGTTTCACTATGTCACTTTAACAAAAAAAGGAGAGTCGCTGTGGCCTGCTGAATGATGGCCATGGGCAAGGCGGGGAAGGAGCCTATTCAGACCCCACCTACCCCAAATCCATTAACAGATGACAGCATCTCTCCCTCTCCCTCATTATTTTTGGCTTAGTGGTTGCTTGGGGATGGAGGAGATATGTGGAAAGTAAATAAAAACAACTTCCGGGAAATCTAACTGGACTGGAGACTGCTTTCCTCAACCACACACACTGACACCCTCACCCTCACTGTCATAAAGAATTAAGTGCCTACCTTTGGGTCACCTGCTCAGGCTTTTTACAGCCTGCCACTGAAGCCACTGCTGCTTCCCAGAGGAAGGGAGGGAGGAACTGAACAACCAACTCCACGGGTTCAGCCTCCACAAGGCAGTGCAGACCCAGCAGAGCCCCGTCTGAGGAAAACAGTAGGAAAAGGGGAGGTTGCCTCCCTTCCATCTTCCCATCCTTCACCCCAACATTTTCCCCTTATGCTCGTATCACTGGCACCATCGCCATGAGTTTGCTTTGCTGCCACTGTTGCCTCCTTGCTCGTGAGTAAACCAGTTAAACCTTATAAGTAAACTGGTGATCCAAAGACCTTTCTCGACCCTTTTCACGGGAGGAAATAAAGTGATCTGTGTGACTGGAAGAATCACTTAAGTGACAGGTTAAAAGCTATATTGCACTAAAGATCAGAGTTTTTTAAATGGGAACCAGACCACTCCAACTGATTGCACTAAATAACACGGGCAAGACAAAAACAGAAGAATCAGGAATTAGCTAGTGTTGGCATTATTTAGGACTGAGGCCTAAATATACTTCATAGCTTAACTATAGAGATGGGCATTAAATGAACCATGAACCAAAAGATCTAATGGACTAGGCTAGTTTGTGGCTCATTTCACAAAGCAAAACAAAATGCCAAACTTTTCCCCTTCAGCAAAAGGCAATGCCACCCCCCAAGCCTTTCCCACTGCCCCAATCCGCCACCTCCACCTCCTTTGCCACAGGTGCCATACTCTGAAGTACAGTACTATAGCAGGCCTGGCTGCCCTGCCAGGAGCCAGTCACTGCCTCTGAGCATGTGCCTGGTGCTGAGCTGTTAGGAGGGCGCATGTGCAGGAGCAGTGCCCGGCTGCCTTGCCAGGAGCCTGCAGCTACAGTGGCAGGAGCAGGCAGGGCAGTCCCTCCCAGACACAAATTGGAAAACTGAATTGTGAAC